TGTTTCGGGCGGTGTCAGATGTAGGATACCTTCTCACTAACACTTCGTCTGAACTTTCCAGCATGGTAACTTATGATATTGTGTGGGTGCAATTCTATAGTCTGCAGTCTGCAGGAAATGTTACAGGAAACCAGCATGGAGCTCCATGACATAGACCCCCTCCACCAGGAAAGTAGCCTGTCGAGGGCTTCGTTTTGGTTGTATGTCAACCCAAGTTCCTTTGGGGAGCTTCGCTAGTAATTTGGATGGTTACAGTGGGTTCTGTAATATAGGGGCTGAAATAATTACCAATATTATAGTTCCACATTCCTTATATAGTCATGGCCTATGGTACCTCAAATGGACCTCAAAATGATATTGGTAATTGTTTAGGCCCCTGTAGTAATCATTCTAGGGAATGATCTTCTGGCTTACTGCCGGTCTCAATGCCTTTGCGCTCCGTACTGACAAGTGCCAAGTATTGCCTTCTACTGCTGCTACAACAGGTACCACTGCGACTGGTACGGGTAAGAGTAGTGTCGTCATCATCATAATCATCAGTACTGTCATCATTATCATCATCATCATCATCATCGCCACCATCATCCTTGTAGTGCTAGTACATAGTAGTGCTAGTACCACGGTTGCGCCACTGAGGACCACCTAGCGTCAAGAGTGGATATAGACTCTCTTTGATAGTTTAGTACAGTCCCTAATATATTCAGGAGTAAGGACTCATATCCATGAACTATATGGGAACCAACGACTGTAGCTCGTATGCAAGCAATCGTTTTGTTTCTGACAGAAACCCCAAACATTCATCTCCCTCGTTTACGGCGTCCTTACGCATCCCACTGTTCATGGCTTCGCTAGCAAGTTGTACCGGAAGAAAACAGGTCCCCAACTGGCGGGAGCTTCCATATGTCATATACTTGTGGGTTCTGGGTTTCAACGTCACCCCGAAAGCTGCAAGCCCTCAGTTCTTGAAACTTGAACTCGAAACCCTAAACCCCAAATCCCCTCAACCTTACACCCTTAACCCTAAATCCTAAATAGTAGTTTCCTTGTTCCTTTTCCATTATCCCAATACATCCTTAATATCACCCCTATATCTCCCCTGTATACCCTAAACCCTAAACCCTAAAATGTATCCCCAATATTGAACATATATATATATATATCCCCTATATACCCTAAACCCTAAAATGTATCCCCAACATTGCACCTATGTATCCCCTATATACCCCAAACCCTAAATCTTAAATATTATTGCTTGGGGGAGTCTAGCAAGACTCCAAGGTTCCGAGGCCTAGGGGAGGGGTAGCTTCACTGATAGGCGATTTGGGGTTAAGGGTTTAGGGTGTTTAATTAGGGTTTAGGGTATAGGGCGTAGGGTGAAGGGTTTAGGCCGAGATTCGAAACCCCAAATCTCTTCACTAAGGCCAAAAACCAGGACGAGTTCTGGAAGGCGCAAGTTGGGTTTCAGAAGCTGTACAGTTTAGGGTTCAAGTTTGGGGGGCCCATTAGAGGGGTTTAGGGTCTTGAGGAAGGGTTCAAGCTCCGGGCCCTAAGACCTAAATTCCAAACCTTAGCCTTAAATCCAAAACCCTCGATCTTTATGGATCCTCAGCGCTTACGCGATAGAGCTAAGGCCGGGATGGGAACTTGGAACTTAGGTAGCAATCGTCATGCATGTTTTTGGGAAGTTATGGGGAGTTCCTTTTCAAACCGGACTACGTTGAAACTGCCATATCGTTTAGGGTTTAGGGCTTAGGGTTGGGGAAACGTAGTAAGAAGGTTGAGAATGTTGAGACCTGGGGTCACGATATGGCTTAGAGGGGTTATAAGTTATACGTATATGTACTAGGCCTCCCTGCCCCTCCAAGTAGCGCGGACTAAGAATGCACAAGCTTAGGATGGAGGGTTGGGGTCTAGCGCAAGTACTGGGGTTAAGGTTTAGCGATTCAGGGTTTTAGGGTTTAGGGAATGCTACTCTCCAGCTCACACTGCCGCATGAGACCCTTCGTGCAGTTTCGTTTGTCAGTTGTACTGTAGGAGCAGTCATGGTAGCGGTAGTTTACCCAAACCCAAAGCCCTGTTGCGAGATTTTTGGTACCCCCAGCCCTTATCATCAGCACCTACGTCATAGGGCATAGGGTCCTGTCTAGGGGGATGGGTATCCATCGGCTTGTGAACCCTCAAATTGAAACTCGTCAGGTGCCCTTCTGAGTTTGAGGTTGCAGAGTTTGCACCAAATAAAGGGTTTAGTGTTAGGGCGAATAAGTGCGAAAGAGAAGGGACAGTTACAGGAAAACTAGGCTTTAGGGTTTAGGGCTTCGGGTTTAGGCTTTAGGGTTTAGTTTAGGGCTTAGGGTTTAGGGGTTTAGCGTCTAAATGGCATGCATAGAAAGGATTTGATTTGGAATGGCTTGCAGGGTCCATCAGTTCCGTCGCTTGCCCTCCTTTCTGCCATTGTAACTTCTGCCGTCCATGCATTTATTGTTACAGTTACCTTCAACCAAACCCTAAACCCCTAAAACCCTGCACCTTGGCCCCTAACACCCTGAACCGTAAAAACCCAAAGTAAACCCCAAGGGCCTGGACCCACCAATACTGGGGCACCAGCAGCGCCGGAGGAGATCCGCCACCCAAAAGGCCCACCGGTCTCTTTTGGTCCGAAGGGCAACAGCACGGCTCCTCCTCTCTCAAAAGGGCCGCCACCTCGAGCTTCGGCGCACGCCTACAACACCTCCGAGAAACAGAGCCCCAGCGCCACTGCCAGCTAGGCTGAAATCAAAAGTGCCATTGAGCTGGAGAAAAAGGAAAACTTCGACGCCATGCTTTTCTTGAGAAGTAGTTTGATCATATTTTTCCGTCTCATGTGTAGGTCAACTTGACAGGTCTGTACGCATGCATTCGGCCACTTAGTTGCCCAGCAGTTTTTAAAAGTACGGTTCAGAAGTAGTGCAGTGTTTTAGCGTATTGGTACGTTCCCTTGCTTAGGGTCTGTGCATAGTCATAGCAAGGCCTTGTCTCTCAGACTGGCGCCTTTGTGGGCAATATCTAATGTATAACACCATCTGACCTAATGCTCTGAGCATTTTAGGCATGGCACTTGTTTATGGTGTGGAACATAGGTGGCCATGTGTGTGTGAAGTGGTTTGTCCATGCCTGCTGAGCTGTTTTGGGAGTAGCCACTTGGGACTGAGAAACTGCAGTGGCTGTTACCTCCCCTAGATGTATGCTTGCATTAGAAAAGGTGCGCAGGGGTTTTAAACAAAAACACTAAACCGCAACCATGGTCGCATCATGCCAGGGGTTTGGGTATACGGAGCCATGCAGGATTTCTAGCACCTTAGCATACACCCGGTTTAAGGGTTTAGGATTCAAATTCGTCAAATTCGGATCTAATCCTCGAACTCCCTGTAGACTTCTCAACCGCCGGTGATGTTGGAGTTTCCGTTTTTCCACTCCTTCATTTGATGCTAAGCACCGGAGCGCCAAAAAACCTTAAATTCGAAACCCTGGACCCTGATTCCCTCCCACATCTCATCTGGTTCGTAGTTGGGAACGAGGGAATATAATCCCTGTATAAAATCCCCCCCATGTACTCTATTCCCTTCTTCCCTACTAACTCTACACCCCAAACCCTAAACCCTAAGCTCTAGACCCCAAACCCTAAACCCAACACCCTAGACCCTAAACCCTAAACCCCTAAACCCTAAACCCTAAGCCCTAAACCCTAAACCCTAAACCCCTAAACCCCTAAACCCCGACCTTCATGCCCAGTTGTTTGAGCGGCTGATCCTGCTGCACCTTGCTATGATGCCGTCACTCGGCTCAATGCCTTGGTGGGTTTCGGGTTCCGAGATTAGGGCTGAGGGTTTAAGGTTTAGGGTTTAGGGTTTAGGGTTTCGAGATTAGGGCTGAGGGTTTAAGGTTTAGAGCTTTAACCGCTTTGAACCCCAAACCCTAAATCGAATAAAGGGTCCTGCGATCTTTGAAATCCTCCCTTTACATGGCAGGCAAAGAAAATGATTCTGGGGATACTGACGCCTGAATAATTGGGGTTTAGGGTTTCATTCGCGTTTAGTGAATTCCGCAACATTTTTGAAATAATTTCAGCACCATATGCACCAACAAGACCCTATTCCAATCACGTAGGGCCGAATTTCAAGTTCAGGCCCCTTACCCCCAAACACAAAATACCCCTGCACACCCCCATAGAAGCCTTACAGATGACTCCCTTACTAGACCCATTATGTATATACATGTCTTTATGTATGCATAGTTTCCCCAAACGCTAAACTCTAAAACCAGAACCCTACAACCTAATCCCTAAACCCTAAGCCCTTTCCATTAATTATGCTTGTGTCTGCTGCAGTGAAAGGGCCCACAGCTCGGTGGAGCCTTCACATGTTATCAGGAAAACATGTTCAACATACACATGCATCATGTAAGCCTCTAAGGTTTAGGCTTGAGGGTTTAAGTCTGAGGGTTTAGGGTATAGGGTTTAAGGTTAGGGTCTAAGCTGATGGGGTCATATAGCGGGTGATATAGGGGAGTATGATAGGGGTTACTGAGGGGGAAGGCTAGGAGTTTAAATTAAGGCTCATATCAGAATATATACGGTTGCATGGAGAAAAATGGGGACAACGTGAGGCATCCTTCATCTTTGTTTGGGAAGCAAGGGCGCGTTTCATGCTTTTTGGGGTATGGAGTTCCTCGAGATTGAGCCGGCGCAGATCAGACCGAGCCCATTATCTTTCTAGAGTTCTAGGGACTAAGATACCTTGTTTAACTTCAATGTAGTGCGCCTCAGGATAGCAGCTCACCATTTGAATTCTTTGTGTGTGAAGTTCGCACGTACACAGAACGCAGCACCACCGGACCATGTGACGCTGGACTTAGATTCCTTAATTGCCTGAAGCCCTTCAAGTAGGAATCTTCGGACGTGTCTATGTCGTGTTCGCATGGAATTTTTGCGACGACCCTTTTTTCGTATGCTACGTGTTTGGAGGATGTCGGGGGAACAGCTGGCTGCCATCAGCATAGACGAGATCAGCAATGTGAGGGACGTGAAGGATTATCTCTCCAGGAACTTTGGTTTTCCTGTTTTCCTTCAGCAACTCCTAGATAACGGCAGCAGTTTGGATGATTCAGCTCTGATGCCTGTTCCCATTGACCTGCAGCTAGTCTTGAAGTCCGTTTTCAGTGCTACAGATCAGCAGGAGGCTGCAACCGAGCTTCTTCGTGCTTGTGCTACAGGGCATTTCAACACTGTACGCTTGCTTCTAGAAGCCGGTACGAACAAGGACGCACAAGATCGTATGAGCCGCACTGGTCTCATTCTTGCAGCTAAATCTGGCCATGTGGAGACTGTGCGCTTATTGTTGGAAGCTGCTTCCAATGTGAATGCGAAGGGTGTGGACGGCTGCGGAGCTCTCATGGTCGCGGCTCACATTGACAATGTGGAGATCACACAGTTGCTGTTGGACGCTGGTGCTAACAAGGACCTGCAAGATCTGGTGGGCAACACGGCTCTCCTTGTTGCAGCTCGTCTTGGCAACGTGAAGGTCGTGGAGTTGTTGTTGGAAGCTGGTTGTAAGAAGGACCTGCCAGACAGGATGGGAAACACAGGTGCAGTTCAATAATTTCGTGGGCCTGTTTCCTAACCCATTCAACATCCCTAAGCCCTGAAGCTTAGCTTCAACAACTGCAGGCCTCATGTTTGCATCTCGTCTCGACCATCTTGAGATAATGCAATTGCTACTGGTGGCTGGTGCTGACAAGGATCTGCAGCTGAAGTCTCGTTGATTACGCTTTGGGGTATTCCATAGACCCCCTAAAATCTGATGTGAGTTTCCTTATGTTTCTGAGGCATTGCCATTTCTCTTGTTGGTATTGATGTTTGTGTTGTGATTCGAGGACTTGTAGTCTCTGTATTGATGTCGCTGCTATTGGCTTCGCTGTAATAGTCGCCCCAGCAGCAGCAGCTGCCGCTGTTACGATGACTCATGAATATGATTATTGCTATGGATAACGCTACTCCAGCTACTACGTGCTGGCATGGAAAATCTGCAGGCTGCTAAAACTACCATTCCAGTCCGTTCATTACATTCCGTTCCATTGCAGCCGGTCGGCAACTTGTGTGCAGCCTCGTGGCTGTGCTTGGCACTGGCGCTTCAGGCGCGCAAGTTCCACATTTGAGCATAGCGCGCTGCTCAGGTCAACACCCGGGAGACCGTTTCGGGAGAAAGTTTCGAGACTTGCTATGCGCAATGACACCATATTCCCCCTATGGGCAGAAAAGAGCGGAGGTCAGAGAGTGACCAGCTGCAAATCACTGTTGCGCACTGGTGCTACGGAATGTGGCAGCGAGAATCTGCAGCGAATGTCGCCACGTTGAGCAAGCAAAAGAATGCAGGCCAAAAATGGGCAAATCGTGGCCGTATACGGCAGACGACTGCGGCAGCCCGACGTTTAACCGCAACACAACAACGCACTAAGTGCCTGAACGGTTGAAGTATTTGAAACTGTAGGCTTTTCTTCCTTGACTCCAGGTTGCGCTCGCGACGCTTCACAGTGAGCACTTCCCACATGGCCATGGCATCAGAGCTGCGTCGGCGCGACCCCATGTTCGAACAGCATGGGAGGGCTTGAACAGCACGTCTCTGCTGCTGTGCAAAGAACGCCACTGGAAGCTCCACGTGCAGCAGGAGCAGCTTGTGCTTGACATTCGTCAAATCACTACACGCGTGCAGGTGCGCAAAATCCCAGCCTGACGAAGCAAAACAAACAGAAAAGCGCACATCTGCTCACCATGCTAGTCTTCCGCCGCAGCGAGCATTGCGTCTCAGCGCGGAGCAAATTATTGGATAATCAGGCGGGTGGACGCTCTGCTGCACGAACGTTACTAG